GCATAGCTCATAAAATCATCTGCTACAATGTCCTACCTGTCAATGACTACTTCAGCTTCAACCACTACAATACATGAGCACACAATAGATACAAACTTAAAGTGAACCGCTCCAAACTCGATTGCAGAAAATATGACTTCAGCAACAGAGTGGTCAATGCCTGGAATGCACTATCTGATTCTGTAGTTTCAGCCCAAAACCCCCAAAATTTTAACCTTAGACTGTCTACTATTGACCTCACCCCAATCCTAAAAGGTCTGTAAGGGGCGTGCATAAGTGCCTACCGTCCCTGTCGTAATGTTCCCTTTAATAGTATTCATTTTATGTATCCAATTCATGTTTATACTTATATATATTATCTAATACGTACTCGGCAAAATAAATAAATGAATAAAATAAAAAGTAAGGGGGATTTATAAACTGGTGCCACAGCCGTTGAGAAGGGAAATGTTGGAATTTGGCTTAGTTTGCAGCATCTTTCTATATCTACAGACCTTGAGGGGCAACAAAGGAACTTATATTTTATCTCTTTCCTGAAAGAAGTAATCTGCAGGCCCCTGTGGAACATGTTCCTATTGGTTAGACTGATATCCTGAAAACTTTTATCACTTCCTTCCTTTCTCTCATTTCTGTCTCTTCTGACTCTGATCAGTGTAGTTCAACCATTTAAGCTGAATCATTATTTCTCCCTCATGGAAGACTACAAGACTATATCTTAGCTATAGCTAGAGTTCAGTCACTTAAAATTACCAACCAAAATACAACTTCCTAATGAAAGTTATGTCTTTTTTTCACACAAATATCAGCCTCAAGAATAATTTATTACAAAAGTTATACGCCTAACTTTAGTGTTTCTCCCTGCATGGAATCTTTCCATTACATTAAGCTATCTGCTATCTGGCATTCTATTTTGATATAGCTTTACAGTGGTTTGAATAAATTTAGGGCTATAGTTGATACTTCATTTTGCTTCAGATTTTAAGTATATTCATATATATATACATATTTATTGTGTGTGTATGTGTATACACACGCGCATGCGCGCGCACACACACACACCCAAATGTTCAAGTTACTACTAAGCCCAAATTGGGGACGATGGGTTAGCTCTTTGAAAAAGAAATGTATACTGAAAATAATTAGCTACACAAGTGAGGGCAGGAACAGCCAACCTTAATTAAAAAGCTCCTTAAGGCTTCTGCAGTACAGAAGCTTCACAGAGTTGCATTCATCCCCCCAAAATAAGATTTGCAAAGTGTAAGTGGACATACATGGATTCCTGCCCTAAATATAGAATAAATTATCTGAGTTTATAGTATAATTTTTTTAAAAAAAAAACCACTCTAAGCTATCATACTATAGGGAAAATGCAGAATTGCCTGTTTTGTACATCTAATACATGCATACATAATATTTCCTTTGTTAAATCTCAAAATATATGCAGTAAACAGTTTCAAGAAAGATCTGTTAGGGCAAATATTAGAATATTGTAAAAAAGAAACCAAAGGGAATCTACCTCTGCCATTTAGATGCATATTTTAAGCAAACATCTTGAATTTATTCCACATCATAAGGTGTGTTGTTTCACAGTGCATAGTATATAAAATGTTATCGGCTTTGCCTTGGAATAGATGTACACACATACAGATACATACAGAGAGGGGAAGGGAAGGAGATAGGGAGAGGCAGAGGGGGAGTGGGAGGGGGAGAGGGAGAAAGAAGGAGAGGAAGAGAGAGGAGAGAGAGAGAGGGGAGAGATCGAGGCAGAGACAGAGGGGGGGAAGAGAGTAAGAGAGATTGCATTTTGAATTGCTTGGTCAAATATATGAGGTACAAAAAGTAAACATACAAGCAACATTTAATCTCTGAATAAGAGAAATTAAATATGCGACATTGGGAATAAAAAAATGTGTCAGGGAATTGATCTTACACCTAAGATTTCAACAAATCAAAAATAAATGATGCTCCATCCAACTTGAGATAATGCACAAATGCTTTCGGGGAGATAAAGTTTACTCTGTATTTCTCCAGACTGAGGGGATTACTTGTGAAAAGATTCAGTCAAATGTATTTCAGATATCTTCTGAGGCAATTAAAACATACATAAGGGTGTGTGTGTGTGTGTGTGTGTGTGTGGGTGTGTGTGTGTGTATCTGTGTATCTAATGTTTAGAAAATTTATACTCCCCCTTTATGCTAGGATTAACATTTAAGGGAGCTGAAGTTTTTTAAAAAATACAAAAGTTAAAACATAAAATCAATACTAACATCAGTTATATTATGTTAATCTCTGAATGAAAAACTTTCTAACGAGGAGGAAACCAAAGGTCAACATCCAAAACATAATGGGGACTTAGTCAAACAATTTTATCCAAAATAAGTGGATGAACTACACCATTCATCCTGCTTTACCCACCACTTGTGAAGGTTCTACACAAATGAATCCTTGTAGCTGGGTTTCTGTCCTTCTCGATCACTGGAGGTTTTTAAGAAGAGGATGGACAGCCAATTGTCCAGAGACCTTAGAGTTTCCGGCCTGAGCAGGGGGTTGGACTAGAAGACCTCCAAGGTCCCTTCCAACTCTCTTTTTCTGTATTCCATATTTTGTATTTTCTGTATTCTATATTTTGTACTTTCTGTATTCTATATCTGCACCTACTGGTACTCTTGGTGCTTGTTTTTTTGCTGTTGTTTCAGTTCAGATTTCTTCCCATTGTCTTGATGCCTTGTCTTACTAATTCTATCACCCATACAAACATTACTGATTAGAAGCCCATAAATTGATGCTGTCTTTCCACAGAATACTTAAACTACCTGAAAAATAAATTTGATATCTCTTCCAAACTCTGTGGAACACGTAAACATTAGATAAGGTTCAAATGTTAGCAGCACAACTACAATCTATAATTTGACCAAAGCATGTTTTACCATTGAAAAACCCTGGGTTAATTCATAGATTAAAACATCAGAGAAATTAGAGAAAATGAAGTTCTGTGTTATTGCTAATTCATTTTAGAAGGATACTGTTTTGTGTGGAAAGCAATGAAAAGAGAAGTTAAGCATCTTCTACGTAGCTTAATAAATACACTTTCTATGTCAATATTAATTAGCAGGAAGCTATTAAATAACGTACTGTTTTGCTTTCATGTAAATATAAATCTCTTAACTTTTTATATCAGGATATTTCACTGCTGTTGACAGAAGCACTAAGTAGAATTTATAGTTCTTATTGCTCAACAAAAAACTATCCAGTAGAAGAGAGAAATCTAATCACTCTGATGTTGGGGAGTAGGAGGAAGGAAAGTGTCACATTACGCAATTTCTTGATTTTCTTTAAAGCAATCTAAATTTCAACCATTAATATACATTTAACTCAAAAAAGGGAAACCCTTCACATTTTCACTGGAAGTCATATAAATATCTGCTGAAGAAATTCAAATAACAGATATCGTTTCAGAATGTCCACCTATCCAAGATGAGGGTGGCTGCTCTTATGCATTGCCAGAGTTAGACAAACGAAGAAAAGAAACAGAAGATATATATCGATACAGAAAAATTCTCATTTAAACACAAAAGCAAATTATGGAAAGCAACCATAACCAGGAGACTATCAGGGTTACCCAGCCTGAACGACAAAAATCAAGATGACCTTTGGAAAACAGCAAAGAGAGTTTAGTGAACATCCATTTCTTTCAGCTCAGTTCAAGTAGTTGTACTACAAATTCATTTTGCTCCTTAGGTTGAGGTTAAGGTTGATGGCTAAATTCAATACCTGTATTCCCACATATGTTGCCTCTATCTTTAAACCAGGCTATAATTCAAATGGCAAGTATTTTTTAAATAGCTCTAAAACAGGAATGCCCATTCCACATGTAGTTTAATCTCATTGAAACAGGTTCCTCTCTTCATTACTAGCATGGCCTTCTGAAAGTAACCAGAAGACGATCTTCATTTTCTGCTGATTTCACTGAGTCTCTGATTCCAATTTGCTTTATATGTATATAATGGACCTAATTTCTTTCAGACATCGAAACTCTATGGATGACTGTGTGAATTGCCCTGTCTCAGACTTATCTTCCTCCTTAGGGCTGCTATCATGGGGATAAAAGTAAGGCCAGAACCTTATATAAGCCATCTACAAGAAAGATGGGATATGGATAAGGAATAACAACAGCACAGCACTTAGACTTATATACCGCTCCATAATGCTTTATAGCACTCTCTGGGTGGTTTACAATGTCAGCATATTGCCCCCAACAATCTTGGTCCTCATTTTACCAACCTCAGAAGGATGGAAGGCTGAGTCAACCTTGAGTCCCATCAGGATCAAACTCCAGGCAGTGGGCAGAGTTAGCCTGCAATACTGCATTCTAACCACTGCCCCACGAGGGTTCAATGAAACAAGTAATTCCATTCCTCTTATCAACTGCAAAATCCTACTGTGTTTCTTCATGCTTCTAAGTCCAGATTTTACACTGTTTCAAGAGATTTAGTGGACAAAAGTGGTAGATCTGTTCTGGTTTTGTGGAATTGGAGGGGGGGAGGGGGAAGTGGTAATGGCCATGTTTGGTGGAGGCATAATTAACTAATTCCTTTATCCTGATTTTTTTGGCTAAAAAAATATCAAAGAGGGTCAAGTTGGCTATTCCTGGATTAATTATCCAAAAGGCCTTTGTTCAATTTAGGCCTTGTTCAAAGTAGACTTTTCCATGCAAAGAGGTTAAAAATATATCTATTACATAACAAGTAATCATTCTGGCAGAAGACTGCATGGACAAATACTTAATTTTGGGAGACTGACCCTTTGGGTTAGGATCACTGCTATAACTATTTAACTGCATCAATTATATAAATTAATTAACAATTACATGTAAAGAAACATATGTCTAACTTTGATAAAGAGAGGGATTTATTCTTGTTATTATCAATTATGAATTCACAATGTCAAGGAGATGGACAGAGTCTTTGAATTCTGAAGCCACTAAGGTAAAAGATCCTTACCTTCGACACAAGATGGCCGCGCGTGTGTTGTGCCTGCAACCTGGCCTGGGAAGCAAGAGCATTTGACTGTCTGTGACCGCTCTTCAATCCTGTTCTTGTTGCAACACCGATGCACTGCAACCACCTCGCAGGTTCCTTGCTTAACTTGGTTGAGGCCTACGAACAACAAGGCATGGGTTATTGTCTCAGAACTGATTACAAAGGACATTGTTTCCACGGTTGTTTGTTTTTTTCAGAAAAAGCAGTTCATAGATAAATTATGAGAAATCTTATTACAGCCTCCATCATTTCACCTATTGCACTGTGTGACTCATCCTTATCATGCAATCCATTACAATGGAATAATTCTTTTTATTAAATTTGTATACTGTGGTAATCACATAATAAAATTTAAAAGCAATTTGGTATTACATGGGCTTCCAACAGAATAGAATAGAATAGAATTCCTTATTGGCCAAGTGTGATGGGACACACAAGGAATTTGTCTTGGTGCATACGCTCTCGGTGTACATAAAAGATACATTCTTCAAGAATCATAAGGTACAACACTTAATGATAGTCATAGGGAAACAGTCAATATAAATCTTAAGGATACCAGCAACAAGGTTACAGTCATTCAGTCATAAGTGGGAGGAGATGGGTGATAGGAACGATGAGAAGATTAATAGTAATGCAGACTTAGTAGCTAGAGTGACGGTGTTGAGGGAATTATTTGTTTAGCAGAGTGATGGTGTTCGGGAAAAAACACCAACACGGGTGTTCTGGTGTGCAGTGCTCTATAGCATTGTTTTGAGGGTAGGAGTTGAAACAGTTTATGTCCAGGATTTGAGGGGTCTGTAAATATTTTCACAGCCCTCTTTTTGACTCGTGCAGTATACAGGTCCTCAATGGAAGGCAGGTTGGTAATAATTGTTTTTTTCTGCAGTTCTAATTATCCACTGAAGTCTGTGTCTATCTTGTTGGGTTGAAGAACCAAACCAGACAGTTATAGAGGTGCAGATAACAGACTCAATAGCTAAGCACCTGCCTGACCTTAACAGGAGGACTATTCCATAGGGCATAGATTGCTACCAAAAACCAGCTTCAGATTTCCTCTTGCCTTTACCTTACATAAATTAAGGTAATTTCTTCCCTGAGAGGCACACTGGTCAGGTTAATTCCAGCTGAAAAAGGCAATCCTGACGATACCTGGGAAGCAAGCCATAAAGTGCTTTATAGGTTAAAAATAAGTGTTTGAGCAATTCATGATAACCTAGTGGAAGCATTATTCAACAAGATTCTATTTACATCATTGCATTGCAATCCAATCAGGCAACCTTATTTTTTATTCAAGTAGGCAATCTACTGATTGAGGCATACCTTTACATCCAGAATTTTGATGTACAGATAGAGTGAACTTTTTTTGCTTTACTTTCTGATACATTTACCAAAAGTAATATAATGTACTTTCTGACTTTGGGCCTTTATCAAAGGTCTAAATAAGTTAGTATGTATATCTAACAGCAACATTTATTCATTTACTAGTAGAATGTGGCAACAGTCTTGGGAGCAGTAAAACATGCTCATCAGGTTGCATTAATATGCAAAGCCAGGCAAAAATGTGAGTTAACTTTTGAAACTAAAGGGATATAGAATTAAAGATACAAGTTCCCTCATAAGAACAAAAATACTTTTATAATTTTGAAAGGCCAGAGTCATTCATATTGCTAAAACAGCTTTTAAAATTATTATTATTATTGTTGTTGTTGTTGTTGTTGTTGTTGTTGTTGTTGTTGTTGTTATTATTATTATTATTATTATTATTATTATTATTATTATTATTATTTAAATTTGTATACCGCCCTACTCCCGAAGGACTCAGGGCGGTGAACAGCCAAATAAAATACATATACTACAAATGTTAAAAAACCATTAAAATACAATTAAATAATTGGCCTGAAAAATGAAATTTAAAACACCCCAAGACAAATTTAAAATTTTTAAATTTTTAAATTTTTTAAAAAGTTTAAAAGAGAGGTTAGGCCAGGCCGGCCAGCTGGAAAAGAAATGTTTTGATGGCACGGCGGAAAGCGCGCAGGTCCGGGATCCTCCGTATCTCTGGGGGGAGCTCGTTCCAGATGGCGGGTGCCCCCACAGAGAAGGCTCCCCCCGGGGGCTGCCAGTCGACATTGTTTGGCCGACGGCACCCTGAGGAGCCTCTCTTTATGGGAGCATACTGGTCGGTGAGAGGCCACTGGTGGCAGAAGGCGGTCTCGTAGATACCCCGGTCCTAAGCCATGGAGCGCTCTAAAGGTGGTAACCAAAACCTTGAAGTGCACCCGGAAGACCACCGGGAGCCAGTGCAGCTTGCGCAGGAGGGGGGTCACATGGGAGCACCCTGTCGCTCCCATAACCACCCGCGCGGCTGCATTCTGTACCAGCTGGAGCCTCCGGGTGCTCCTCAAGGGGAGCCCCATGTAGAGAGCATTGCAGTAGTCCAGGAGGGAAGTGACAAGGGCATGAGTGACCGTATTTAACGAGTCTCGATCCAGAAAGGGACGCAACTGGCGAATCAGGCGAACCTGATAAAACGCCCTCCCGGCCACAGCCGTCAAGTGCTCTTCTAAAGACAGCTGTGAGTCCAGGAGGACCCCCAAGTTGTGAGCCCTCTCCATGGGGGCCAATGACTCGCCCCCAATAGTCAGTGATGGCACCAACTGACTATATCGGGATGTCGGAAACCACAGCCACTCGGTCTTGGATGGGTTGAGCCTGAGTCTGTTCCTCCCCATCCAGATCCGTACAGCCTCCAGGCACCGGGACATCACTTCAAGGGCATCATTGGGTTGGTCCGGTTTACTTCTTCATAAAGAAGAATGGAAACTAAGCATAAGCTTGAATTTAACCATGAATCCTTGCTTACTAAACCATAATATTTTAAGATGATTTCTGATAGTGATTGATGTGATTGAGGTATTCCTTCCATATTTATTTATTCATTCATGCGAAACGATTAGCAACATTTCTGTTTGTATGCTACTTGTACTCATTCTGTTTTATTAAATCAAGATTCCAAAATTAATATGTTATTCAACACAGCCTACAACCTAAAAGAATCAGTGATCGATGCTCATTTGCACCCTCAAGTTAGTTTCAAGCTGTATTTTTAACACTAATATTATGCTAAATATTTTTAAAAAGTGCTGAGAACAATGTGAAGTCACTCCATAGGTAAATGAAATTGTACAACTGGAATTCAGATCCAATGAAGACTCCGCTTAGTCCTCTAATATATTTTCTCTACAGCATTTCTATGTATAGTAAAGAACTACTACCTTACATAAAGACTTAAACAGCTGCACTGAAAACTACGCAAGGGTGAATATGAAACAAATAATAGAATATACGAGATTTTATTCAAGCTCCCCAGCTCCTAGATATCACCCTTTTAACAAAATATGCTTCATCTCTGGGATGAATCATCCATTTACTGAAAGTTGCAAAAAGGTTGATCATTGTACTAAAAAAGTTGATCATAGCCAGTATATTATATTTATCGACAGCCTGTATATTTTATGGACATGTCTAACATCTAAGTAATAGCATTTAAAAAAAAAAAGCTCTTTGGGGCAATGGATTTATTGCAAACTGAGAAATAAATAAGCCGCCAACATCTTTATATCTCCATATCTTTCAAAAAAAAGTCACTTCCTAAAATCTGTTGTGAATATTTCCAAGCTGCTATAAACAGAAGGTTTTATTTTGTTAACAAATAAAGAATAAGTACCGTTCTGTACACTTAAATGACTTAAACAGGTTAATAGCTTGCTAATAATCTTGCATCAACGGGAGGTAATGGAGGTGATTATTCTCTTGATAATTTGTGTAGGAGAGACCTGTTTGTATTTTTTTAAATATAGGATTCAATCTGGCCTAAGCAAGTTCTAAGCAATTGCATGTTGAATTTAGAGACTAAGGTTATAAGCAGTAAAACTCACTAAGATGAAGCACTATGAAGTAAAACAGCATTAGAGCTTTGTGCCCTGAAGTCATGATGTACTGCCAGCATGTGATTCCCAAAATTAGCAGTCAGAGATCAGTCAGGGGCATGGCTATTGTAATATCCTGCTTATTTCTTTTATTCAAACTCTGCAGATTCGGGTCCAGGAATCCCAACTGCATCAAGTGGAAGACAAGAATTGTTTTAATTTAAGAACCTAAGCCAATATACATTCAAATCCATTAGAACCCTTCACCAACTCCCAAATTCCCCAAAGAATACATCTAGGCTTGCAATCATATATGAGCACATTCAGACCAGTATCACAGAAGGTTTTCCAGTTTAGAAAGTTCTGGGGACATCATGTCTTAGTTTAGAAGGAAAGTTCAGAAAGGAGACATAACTGCTCAGAGCCCCTCTTACTGCCCAGAGCTCCTGGGCAGTACAGAAATATAATGGATGGATGGATGGATGGATGGATGGATGGATGGATGGATGGATGGATGGAATAGTGGGTGGTTGGGTGGGTGAGTGAGTGAGTGAGTGAGTGAGTGAGTGAGTGAGTGAGTGAATGAATGAATGAATGAATGAATGAATGAACGAACAAACAAATAGTATGGGATATGTTAGAGGCCTTGGGGTCAACAAATAATGCTTAGTGATGGGAGATTCTGAAGAAACAAAAAGAAGTCTTTCTTCACACTGAAATCTGGAATTTCCTCAGATATAGTCATGACATTCAGTTTGGGTGACTTTAAATTCGAGAAATTCATGGAGAAAGGAGCTATTAGCATTAATGACTAAATTTTATTCTGCAATCAGAGGAAGTATGACTCTCAGTATCATTTGCTTTACAGCCTGTATATGGAAATGGATTGCAGAATCACAGAGTTGAAAGATGTCTTAGAAGTCATCCTATCCAACCCCCTAGCCTAGATCATTGTAGGACATCTTTGAGAGACACATGGCTGTGTCTGGCAGACCACAACTCTTCCCAATCTCTGGCCTGGAACTGCTTCCTTTTAGTTTAAGCCCACTGATTTTAATCCTGCCCTCTGGGACCATCAAAGTCCACTCCTTTTTCCAAGTGACAACCCTTTTGATATTTGAAGGCTATCATTTCTCCTCTCCAAATACTACACTAGCTAGGCTTTTGATTTAATCCAGCGGAGCGGTT